CATAAAGAGCATCTCAAACAAACTACAAACCTTCATCAACAGCTAGCTGTCTTCACTCAATACTCAAGATCAGATGGCCAGAAAAGATCAGCAACAGAGATCTCTGGCAATGAGCGAACCAACCAGGAACCGATTGTGAAACAAATAGGCAGGAAGAAATGGAGATGGATTGGCCATACTCTGAGGAAACTATCAAGTGACATCACTAGACAAGCCATTGCTCGAGTGGAACCCGAAAGGGAAGCGGCGAGTTGGTCGTCAGTGCAAGGGTGACTTGGAGGAGGTGATCTGAAGAGGAGATGAAAACGTGTGGGTGGCAGACATGGAGCCAGGTGAAGACTCTAGCAGCGAACCGAAGGCAATGGAGACGCACGGCTGAAGCCCTATGTTCCTCTAGAAATTAAAAAAAACATTAATAATAATACAAAATTCCACGATACCATATTTAGCGCATATTTTATGTGATGAAAATAGTGTCAGACATGAATTAACTAACCTTCTTTCCACTAGTAAATAAAAAATTTTCTCCATCCCTATACCAATAAGCTATACTGTTATTATTATTATTATATTAACAGCCCTCTCACTTGTTTTTGTTTATTTTCTCATAAATGTAAACATCATTTGAGCTCTGTAATAATTGTTTTATTTTTTATTTTTCCCGTCACCATGCTATATGTGAAGAGAATATTAGATTCAATATTACACCATAACATGCTAAATTTTCCATACTGTATTGACAATACTGTTTTTGAAACAAACCCACTGTTATTATCATTGCTATAGTTATTATTCTCATTTTGTACTTTGACCATTTCTGACATTATTCTTACTGTAAATGTGGAAAAGTTCCTGTGGATAATTTTATTTATATTTTGAGTAAATTAGATGCTGAGAAATCCATGCTGTATTATAAGTACTGCTTTTAGGAAAAAGAGCAGGTCATTCAAAATAATTATTATTACTATTAATTTTACATCCCTCCGCAAGATATCTACATTATATGAACTATTTCGTATATGGCATTACTTGTTTTGTCGCTCAATACTGAACTATGATGATGTGGAAAGAAGGCAAAGTACCCGACGATTGGAAGAAAGGATACTTATTCAAACTACCAAAGAAAGGAGACCTAAGTCAATGCAAGAACTGGCGCGAAATTATACTCCTGTCCATCTCAAGCAAAAAACTAAGCCGCATCATCCTAGAGAGAATCAAACACGCCAACCTGGATGAAAAACTTCGACCGGAACAGGCTGGATTCAGGAGAAACAAGTCATGCATTGATCAGATCGCCACATTACGGATCATCATTGAGCAAAGCTTGGAATGGCAGTCATCTCTCTATCTCAACTTCATCGACTTTGAAAAGGCCTTCGATAGTGTCGATCGAGAGGTGATTTGGCAACTACTTCGCTACTATGGGGTGCCACCGACAATAATACATCTCATCCAACAGCTGTACGACAATGCTGCATGCCAAGTAATCCACAACGGGAAGCTCACTGAATCCTTCGAAGTGAAGACAGGGTTGCCTACTATCGCCAATGATTTTCCTGATTGCAGTATACTGGATAATGCGACAAACAGCGGGCAATGAGGATACAGGCATTAAATGGACTCACACAAAAAACTTGGAGGATCTGGACTTCGCCGATGACATATGTCTGATTTCTCACAAACTGGAAGATATGCAAGTGAAGAGCAACAAGTTGGCAGAAGAAGCATCAAATATAGGACTTCAGGTGAACATAGAGAAAACAGAGGTGATGAAGATTCCTGGCGTACAACAGCCGCGAGAGCAACTACAATAGACAAAAAACAATCAACATAAATGGAAGGAATCTGAAAGAAGAAAACTCCTTCACCTACCTAGCTACTTAGGAAGCATTGTTTCAACTGCATGCGGAACTGATGAGGATATCAAAGCAGTGAGGATTGGGAAAGCAAGGCAAACTTTCATTACGCTCAACTCTGTGTGGAGATCAACAACACTCATCAGGAAAATGAAAATAAGAACCGGATTTCCAACTTTAACTTGAGGTCAGTGCTACTTACAATACGGATCAGAGACTTGGCGCAGCGCCGCGTCACGAAGGCCACTGCGAACAAACTACAGACTTTCATCAACAGCTGTCTTCCCTCAATACTACTCAAGATCAGCGACAGAACCAAATACGAACCGATTTTGGAACAAATAAGCAGGAAGAAATGGATGTGGACTGACCATACTCTGAGAAAACAAATCATCAAGTGGCATCACTAGACAGGCCCTTTGAGTGAAACCCGAAAGGGAAGCGGCGAGTTGGTCATCAATGCGAGGGTGATATGGAAGAGGTGATGTGGGCAGAAGTGTAGGCAGTTGAAAACGTTGACAGAGAACCGAAGGCAATGAAGACGTGCAGCTGAGGCCTTTTGTTCATCTAGAAACTAAAGGAAACAATAACAATAATAAACTTTATAAGTTTCTAGACTGTAGATGTTACAAATTTCTTGAATAACTTGAGCGCCGAGTCAGATAGATTTATTTTAAATAATTTGTAGCATTCTAAAATCTGTTTAAATTTCCTCACGGAATATAGTTTTCTAGATATCATATTTATAGCTTGACAATAAATTGATTGAAATGAGTCTCGTCGCTGAATATTTTGTTCTAATTTCTGAAGGATTTGGAAATCTCGACAAAGTTACCCCTATCCAAAAGGTGTTTGATAATTGCACTTTGTAAATATCTGCTTCATTTTAAGCATAGGTTTCTTGGTAAGTTTCCAATGTGATGAACTTTAACCTTCTTGAGTTGCCATGTTGACGTACAAGTTAATAGTGTGTTCTTATTGTTACATATGCATACAACATTTATGCTGTTTTGGAAGTAGGTGTTCGGAAAGTGTCTCAATGATTACACCATTCCTTTCTAAGATTCAGGTTGATCTGCAGAAGATCGAGGAAGCAGTGAATCTAGTTGAGCCGCTGACATATTATCACGAAAGATCCATTTGTGTATCTCAACTGTTTGGAGATGATAGAAGGTAGATTGCGAAAGATCGGTTGTCCAAAGGGAACAGAGCGTGGTGGCTACAATGTTTTCAGTTCGTGTATTCTTATAGAAGATCCATCCGCCGGAAACGTACATGGAACAGACAACTAACTGATTTTTATCGTTGCCTGCCTATCTCCAGGAAAAGGAACCTAATTCATTCACTCTGCTTTAGGATAAGAAACATTTGTAGTTCTTAACTTAACGCTGGTAAAAAACGGTTACCCGAACGATTTATTGACAGTAACACGAAAGGTAAGCAGTCTTAACTGGTCACCGATACAGTTCCAAAGAAAACCTTATTCATGAATTTGGAATTCAAAGGTGATAAATCTTCAGATATGCTCGAAAACCATCTCTCTAAATCAGTCAGTAAGGCTTTCTTTGCAGTAAAATTACAAATGATGTTAATCAGCTGCAAGCTGTTCTCCATCTCTGTAAAGCATAAGCTCCCCTGCATGGCCACATCCATGTGTATCTATCACTTCACCTGCTGTTGTTAAGCAAGATACATTGCCTGTAGCCAGAGGACACTTTCTACCACACGGATACGAGAACATGTTCCAGGATGGTTTTACAAGGGAAAAAGGAAGTGTGTGCGAAGCTCTATTCTAGAACACACCTGATCGACTTCTGCCACTGTGCCAACCCTGAACATGATTTTAAGATCATCTACAGAATCCATGCTAACTTGCCACGTTTTCTTCGTTACAGACTTCTGAAGACAGGGAAGGCTTTGCAATTCATGACTTTAAGCCAGACAAAAGGAGAAGAAGTATGTACAATCCCTACTTCTCCCTTGGCCGTAGAGGGATAGACATTTATTTATTTTGTTTATTTAGTTATTCTATGTACTTTTCCCTCATTACTGTGATTATTATTATAATTGCTATTCTCACTTTGAATTGTTTCCGCTTGTCCCACTGGTCATTCTAAATCCAAAATTATTATTTTTTTACAATGTTAAATTCATCTTATCAAATTTCACACCATGTTATGTAACATTTTATATTTGCCTACTGATCCTATAATTATGCACCCTTCTCCAACATCTACACACCTTATATGTTATTCTACATATGACATTAATTGTCTCGCCACTTGACATTAAACTATGATTATAATCACAAGCAATTTAATATTAATTGCATTTCATAATACTGCTATTATTATTTCTTCATCAACAGCTATCTTCGCTCATTACTCAAGATCAGATGGCCAGAAAAGATCAGAAACAGGGATCTTTGGGAGAAAACCAACCAGGAACCGATTGTGCAACAAATAAGCAGGAAGAAATGGATGTGAACTGACCATACTCTGAGAAAACAAATCATCAAGTGGCATCACTAGACAGGCCCTCGAGTGGAACCCGAAAGGGAAGCGGCGAGTTGGTCATAAGTGCGAGGGTGACTTGGAGGAGATGCGAAGAGGAGATGAAAGCATGTGGAGGCAGGTGAAAACTTTAGCAGAGAACCGAACGCCATGGAGACGTGTGGCCGCAGCCCTATGTTCCTCTAGGAATTAAAGGAAATAATTATACTATTATTACTTCATTTATTCACACCTTTGATCCAATTCCCTCACTGGATACAATTTCTTAAAAACCATATATAAACGATAGAACAGCTTGATAATAAATTCGTTGTTGGAGAGAGTCTCTTCGCTGAATATTGTATTTTTATTCTTATAAACTCCAAGTACTCCACTTCCTAAATCGATTCTAGAACCAACGCAAGTGTTACATTCCCTTTTCAATAGTTGGGAGATGTTAAGAGTTGCCTGACCACTAACTTATAGTTATAGTAAGGTTAATAAGTCTCTTGGTTGTATGGCCAAATCGTTGGCAAAAAACACTCCGCTGAAAACAAATTCGAAAGTTCGTTTACTTAGATTATCCAATTAGGATAGTCATACATAGTCAAATACAAATTATGCTGATATTCGGTTTAACATGCATACTTACCTGCTTTGTAGTAATTTATTGGAATGAATCTGTATTGGTTCGCAGTAAACATCCTCATTCGCTTCCTCAATATTCATCTCAAATGGACGATCCAAAGATTCACTTCGTGCAAACCTTCCAAAATAATAACAAACAAAGTTATTGTGAGAAGAATGGCAAGGTATAAAAATATTTATTGAACAGAATAATATTTTACTAATTTCAAACGCCTGCAAATACAACACTAAAACCTGAATGAGGCAGATTACAAATTGCAGCCTTCAGGATCACTGATAACCACGAAACACTGGAAAGATGTCTCACCAGACTGTTTAGAACCGCGAATCTAAAACCCAAATTGCAGATCAAATTAATTCCACTCAGCGATGTTTAGAGAAGTGACAAGTTCTCTCTATTATTGGATAAGATTTTATTTTGATAAAGTCACACAGTATTTTTCAAGTGTTGGTTTGGTAGGGATTTTGTTTAATTGCATGGAGGACTTCATTATGAGCTGACCAGTAGGGTACAGCAAGTTGAAGATGAGGCAGTAACTCATCTAAGAAGACATTGCGAAATGGTCGCGCTATGTCGTGAATTGGCAGAAGTTAGAATTCAAGGACCACTGGATCGGGTCCCAGTCACACAGTATTGCTATACAGTAAGTAATATTTACTGATGACCACGTTTCGAGCACAAACTATTGCTGCTCATAATCATATCAAGACACTACTCACACAACTTTCCTGCTTCGTTTATATATATGAGTGAAAATTGATGATTAGACATTTGAATAAAATCAATATAAGATAAAGTACATTCGGAAATAATTATATTAGTGCTATCAATCAAAGTTTATTTTTTTTTTTTATATATTATTTTTATTAGTAGTTTTCATGTTTAGGCTAGGTTTTAGCTTCATGTTTACTATGTTGGGGCATCTAGGGACCATACGGTCATAGTTTGTTTAGGGATGCTCTGGCATAGGAAAGCTATATATCAATCGATAGCTCTCGACGAAATCTACCCATTGGTACCGGTTTCACACCTTATAGCTTCTCCTCAGCCGAATAGGGAATTTTTTCAAAGGCTACAGGGGAAACCTGTTTCTAGGCCTAGAGTTCATGCCGCTGGCTGTTCTCTTGACATCTTTTAGCTCCGCGACCTCAGGTTGTATGCCGTTGTGTATGTAGCTAGGAAGCATTACCAACCATAGGGCAGCAGGGGGGCAGAGACTGCTAGGCAGGAAAACCCTCGTATTCTTCTTAGGAATAGCTTTTACCCTCTGATTTATATACCATTGGATTCCTCTCAACAAGACGAACCAATTGGTACCTGTCTCGTCCCTGTAGGACTTACGGTTGCGGAGCTATGCTTCTTTAATTTCAGGATGTATTCTGCTATTTTAGAGTTTCTTAGGATGTACATGCTCTTTCATTTCATCCACGATGTTATCGACAACGGGGAGCTGAAAATGAAGCAGAGGCTGACCGGCAGCTTAACCGGACTTCTACTGATATGACGGTGGCGACGGTATCAGTAGGAGATAACTTGGGTCGCCACACCGTTCCTAGCGTAGCTCCGTTGATAGTAGCAACGGGCATCAACCAAATTTGTCAAACCTCACAACCTACTGATACATTGGCGACGGTATCAGTGGGGGCTGGACTTAGTCGTCAACAATCCAACCCGATGAACCAAACGAATCCAAGAAATATCATGCCGGATCGGCCGTGGCCCGGATTAACAACGACCGCGCTTTCTGCTGCCGTGTCACAGGGCAGAAGTGATAAGTACGCTACTGAGACACACCAGGCCGTGTGTGACCGGCCTCAAGCAGATGTCCCCTGGGCTCTGCGGTCACGCAACACTAACCTTTCTTCTATTTCAGGTACCCAAAGACTAAACTCAGGCGTGAGGCCAGCAACCCCACCCTGTAAACAAACCTGCTACAGAAACTTCAGCGTGAACAGTCTCCTTGCGTCAAAAGAAAAAGTCTGTGTGGGGACATGGAATGTCCGCACCATGTACGAGACTAGCAAAGCTGCCCAGATCGCAAGCGAAATGAGGAGATACGGACTATCAATCAAATGCAATCAGATGGGAAATAGGATGTTTTTATAGTCAAAATAAATAAATAACTTGTTAGAATGCTTTAATGTGAATTGAATTGAATACATTTTAACATTATTCATCTTCCATATCTCTGATCTTAGCGTTGAGTCACTCCTATTGCGCATGTGTTGGGTGTGTAGACTCGATGAACAAGGATTCAGTAATCAACCTCTCTCTGCACCTACCTATTATACTCCTTAGATTTTCAACTCTGTCCCACCCACTGTATTGTGTGGTTGTGTGTGAATGCATGCAGTGTAATTGTTGAGTTTGTTTTTCTAAATTACTTATCTTTGTGAGATCAGTCATTGTAACCTTAGCTAAATTCTTACGTTCTGATAATTTCACTACCCCTGATCTACTAGTTTGACTGACCTATGTAGTCGACTTAACCCATAGTCATTGCAAAGTATTTTGTAAATTATATGATTTTGCTTAATTTGGTCCACCGGGTCCTCTAACCTACAGAGCTTTTTCTACCTGAGTGAGTTGATAGGTTTAAATGCCACTCTAATTGCTGCTTCATTGAGAATCTTACCACGTAGAGTCTCAAATGTCCCCTCTTTATATGATAAAACTGTAGATGCCTTATATTCTTTCTTATTTATGTTATCATTATTAGTTTCCCCGTTATTTTTATTTTGCCTTTGACCTTTTTTGATGTTCCTAATGAATATTATAGGATATTTAGTTCATTAACACCAACCAGCTATTCTTCTATCTGTTTCATTTCATCGTTTAGGTTTTTTGTTGTACTTCTTAGTGATACCGCTCAGTTTTTTAGACACTCAATAGCTAAGCCAGCCTTTACAAACAACGTCATCAGTAAATATTACTTACTGTATAACAACACAGTGTGTGACACTTTATCAGAATGAAATCTTATCCATAATGCAGTTATACTCTACCACCACAGTGCCCAAGTTTCATACTTATATCGACTAGTTCTCTCCTTCTTTGAAACTATTTCTTGTGGATATATTCCAAAATATGCCATTGTCTATCACTAATACATACCTGTATTCATTAATTATGATCCGAAGAATTCTCAAAGATCCGCAATAGGTTGTTTGTGTTTAAAATAACATCACTAATAAAAATGGACAGTTTGTATTTCAACAAATTCATTCGCATAACTGTACAACAAGGTGTGTCGATCACTTGACGTCAGTGTTATGAAAACAAGTGGAGAAAAATCATCCTACATGGTTGCAAAATGGTAACAGTGGGTCGATTAGAGATGCCTTTATTGAACAGATCCTCAAAACCTAACCAGTGTCTAAAAAAGCCATTTCACTGAAGATTATTTATAAAGTAAGGTAACATCTGTGCGTCGGTGGCTTAGCGGTTAGGACGCTCGCCGACCATGCATATGGTCCGGGGTTCAATCCCCGGCCGACGCACTCCTTTACCTCGCTAAACCAGAAATAATGCTGGTGAAGAGGAAAGGTTGGGCATGAGGCTTGCAACCCCATCCTGTAAAATGAACACTGCTACAGAAACTTCAAGCCACAAGCTTGAAGCCCTATGTTCCACTGGGAACGTGAAGGAAAAAAAGGCAACATCTCCTGAACTTGACAGCCATCTGCATCCTTTGTACTGCTAAGACACTAGCCACACACACACACACATACAGAAATTCACTCAATGCATACGAAACGAATTAGTACAACTAATTCTTCTGCCCATAAATTGATAGCAGTTAGAATTGATTGGTGACTGAATCAAGTCTCGGTGGCAGAATGGTATATGAGCTTGCCTTGCAGCCGAAAGTTCCTGCGTACGAGCTCCAGCGGGTGTATGTTACTGATGAGTTCCAAACTGGGACGAAACAGCTGTTCAATACTCCCTGGTTTTTGATAGTTCGTTAACTGATATCAATTCGTCATCATACCTGAAAAAAATTAAATCCTCAAAAATCCCATTCAAATATGGTTGTTTGGCTACATAAAAGAAGTTGATGAAAATAAATTCTTTTCAATAATACCCAATCTTCTGTGGTGAATGTCCTGATGACAGGTATCCTTCGTAAATATCATTGTTATTAATTCCTCGCATTTTGTATGAAACATAGGTCCTATCAGGCACATGAGCGTTACACTGCATTAACCACATCATTTCTATTTGCCTCTGCAAGTGCCCAAAAGCTTTCACATAGTCTTCTTCGTATTACCCTTGAATGCCCAACAATTTGCTCACCAATTTAGGTTTCACTCAAGAGGATGGCGTCTTAACTCAATTGAATGTCTTCTCAGTGTATTTCTAATCCATCTTTATCTTCTTCTGCACATCTGCTGGCTGACAGATAGGTTGTTAGTCAGTTCAGAGCCAGGATTCCTCAATTCATAACCTTTCTAGTCATTTCACATATGTGGTTTATCGAAATACTTCTCTATATAACGCACTGCGTTAAGCTGACTACGTTTTTTTCATTTTTAAACGGAATATATCCTAGTCGCAATAATTTTCTTATCAAAAATCAAAATATTCAAATCATGATATACAGTTTCTTTTATATCGAAATTCCTTTACCAATCAAGTGGCTATTTTAGTTAATCATTTTTAGGTATAGGCAGGAAGGGTGAAATTAAGAGGATAAATGTCATCAAAACAATTAACTAACAGATGTTAGTAACAAGATATCTAAGTTTTGAAGGAGGAAGAGGTGAAAATTAATTAATTAGTTAATTACGAAATTCAAGATCAGTTGATTCTTAGGCGTTGGCAACAAGTTCTTACACAATCAAGAGATTTGTAAAATATCAAAGATGACTAGGAAAAATAGGATGATTCAGAAGAATCACGTAAAATACAAACAAATTAACAGAATTAACTAAGATATTAGCACCTAAGCTATGCTGTATATTCACAAGCCAACCCATACTGAGTTCAAGAAATAAAGACAGACTGCCCTGTTTCACCTCTTCCATGTGTATTTACCAGTCTGACTGCCCGTGCGGAGCCAGCTACACTGGGCGTGCGACCAGGCAAGTTCATCGTAGAATTTCTGAACACATCCC